CTTCTGTTCTAAGCCTTAGTCGGTTGCAATTAGAAATTTTAGCACATAGAAAATCTAATTTTTTTTACTTTAAACGGTTTCAGTAGCATAGAAAATTCCGGTCAATTTAAAGGATGCGTACTTGCGTAGTAAATTCCTATAAACAAACAAACATCAAACATGGGAGATAATATTTGTATCAAACACAAAAACTATCACCGATACTCGGACCGATAGAGCTTAAGCATACTATAAAGCTTTCCAATTTGATTCTAAATTCATAGTTGATAAGATCTTAAACTAGTTCTCGAACTAATAAACACATACAACAACAACAAAATCAAATGAATAAACAACGAATAATGAAACGTACCTGAAAATCGGAAGAGAGAGAGAGACTGTAGTTTTTAAGTTTTATGTTGTTCGAACAGATTCATATACAGATCGAGATCTCTATTTATAAGCGAACAATAACGGTCAATTTTCTAGAGCTCTTATTAATAAATTCCGACCGTTAGATTGCAACGGGTTTTTCAAATTATTACTTTTATAACGGGTAAATAAAAACTAAATGATGATTTTATTATTTTTGAATATTACTAATATTCACCAACTTATGACAATACCATGAAGTAAAGATTCTAAAGCATCTTAAACCCAATTTCATAACAAACATAAGCATCAACGGACAAAAACTTAATCACCTCTTCATCAAGAACTTCATTAACCAAATCTCTTGAACAAATCTTCCTCTTCGGTTTCCACGAACCAAAACCCAACAACTCGAAAGCCATAGCCTTCAAGCTAAGTCTTGATCTCACACCATAACTAAAAGGATAATTCAACTTTACCAAATCACGAACATCAACTTTCTTAACCACTTTAATTAGCCCGTTAAGCCTCGTGACCGTTTTCGCAATACCGATCCCTACGAAAACAGATCTCTCGTCGTGAAATAGATCAGTAAGGCATTCTCCGAGGTTGGCTTTTTGGTTCATATGAAGGAGTTGGAGTATAAGACATTTGGTCTCGATGCATAGTTGAAGTGTTGCGGTTTTTGCATCATCTTGAGGATTGGTCTTGGAGTTTAGAGAGACAATCACCGTTTGATCTTCTTGGATTGCTGATCGTACGGAGAGGATCCACTTCTTCGCAATGGAAACTTCATTTGTCACCGTTGTTTCTATAAATCTTCCATGAAATTGAATAAAATGTGTAATCGCTACCATCACTCACTCTACAATAGTATTTCACTTGTTTATTTGTAGGAAATTGTTTCGTCCATGTTCATCGACTTTTATGGTTGAAAACAAAATCAAATTCTCCAATTTTCGATAAGAATTCAATACAAGTACACCGAATGGGTCAAATGTGCTGTGAATATTCTCATTAATATTATAACCAATTCCCAATTCATAGCAATTGAAGATAAACACAAAAATCAAAAACATATTGAATGAGACTTAAATTTGTAAACAAAATTTAATATCCTTCCCAAACACATATACCTTTTTCCTATTTTTTCATTAATTAATTGAAATACACTCACAAATTACAAAAACAAAAATGAAGACAAAGTTATAGAGAATTAATCAAAGTTATAATACCAAAAACAAAATCAACCAACAAAACCTGAAGATCTATAACAAATTAATCAATTCACGAGACATTTCCAAATTTTCCATCTCCATGCATGATGATTGATGAATGTTAAATCATCGATAATACGACATTAATTCATCATTACCCCTTTGGCCTTGGAACGTTCACTATAAACCTGATTTTGCATCTTCATTTGCTCATAGAATTTCAAGATAAACTCCTCAGCTTTC